GTCACGGGCAGAAAAATGGCCGTGGACCACGTGTCACGGCGGAAAATGGCCGCGGATCCGGTTTGTACCCCGAGGCGGAGTTCGCAATCCGAGGTAAATTTTTGCGGCTGGGGCTGGGCGTAACCCGAAAAGTTCGTTAGTAGAGGCGTTCATATCCCGAGGTACCACTGTATATGGCTCAGTGTATCAAGCAAACACAACCAGTAGCTGAATCCCACATATTGTGGAAAAGCAATTTGTTTGTTTAATTCTGGTTTCCTGCATTATGTCTATATTCAGCCAACTGACTTTACACAGTAGCTAGGTTCACATGGCATATTGAACCATAAATTGTCCAGCCTCATTTTAGCCTAGCATAGTATGCAAAAACATCCTGCATTATTAGTGTGTTTTGTAAATCCAAAAAAAATGTGTGGTTGATAACCTGGGAAAATGTGTCATGTATAGAATATTCTGGAGCTGAGGGCTTTGAAGCCCAACCACTCAGATGTAGGTCATTAGAGATTCTCTTACAAAGTACTAATTATAAATGGGATGTTATTAATGAGTAGAACTTTGCTCACAAGAACTTCTGTTTCTTTGGAGAGCACTTATTTATTTGGCCATTGATTAAGTTGTCCCTTAATCTGACCCTATCTCCAAAAGCTGGGCAGTGATTCAATATCAAGGCTGTAGTTCTCTCCATCGCAAGGAAGGAGAGAATTTCCCTAAGAAAATATGAATTTTCTGTTCTATTTCAGAATTTCTCCAAGAATTATTTATTGCTCCAACTCAGGGAGCAACAGACCTTCCTCTGAAGAATCATCCTCCAGTTAGATTGAATATGTTGCAGCTAATAGCAACAAAACGAGAATGAGATTCTGTGTCCTGCAGCCAAACTTGGACAGCTCAACAGAGTGATTATATCTGGGATACTAAATGATGAGCATGAGATGGTAGCAAAATGTTAGACTTTCTTGTCTCTTTTTTAGTTTACGTATTTATTTTAAAATATTTAAAGAATAAAATAAATGACTAGATAAAAGAAGAAAGTGAGAAAGAACATAGTGGATGGAAAGCAAAATATCAGTAAAAAAACAGAGAATTTAAAATTTAAAATTCATTATTTCATTCATTAAATAGTTAATTGAATATATAAGGCTAAGCTCATTATATCACCTTGAGAAATAATTGTAAATCACTAGAAAACTCTAAGCATTTTATATTGATATCTCCACTTTTTATCATTATCAAAATTTAAAAAGGAAAAAATAAAAAATAATTTTTTATGAAAATAAATCATAATAACAATCAGTACAACCATCTAAATTTCTTCTCATTGTATCCGACTGATGACTACATCAAATTATTTATAAATGTTAAAATTGCTTCTGGTTACTATCTTTACATCAAATATTTCCCCCTTAAAAACCATACCCTAAATATCTGAATTTGCCTTGTTGTATGACACATAATATATATTCTTCCTTAAAGTTAGTCAAACTTCTGTTCTTGATGCATACTGTTAATTTTGCCATTGCTGTATATTCCCCAAGTTTGATTTCCCAGTCCGATATTGTCTGCAAAGTATATCTTGTCCAGTGTTAGACTTTTCTATTTTACTTCCCTGCCATCTTGATGATGATCTGGATTTGTGTAGCACAATATGGTAGCTGTACAGTCTAAAGCCAGAATTAGTTGAAAGCACTATTCTAGATTCCTCACAGCCCACACTCTAATTACTGGCAAAGGAAGTCCTTCCAGGTCTTACTAGTTCTGGGTGATTAATGAAGGTCAACCCAAAAGGGATTGTCATTTCTGGTTTTTTCGAATTCTATAGTCCTGAGAGGCTTCACCCAGCACAGCTACACCATGCTTCAGTTTTGATTCCAAAAATATGCTTCAGAGTGCTGACTTAATAAAACAGTTGTGTAACCTGATAAAAGGAAGCATCTGTCAGTGTTATATCTGGAGCATTGCACAGCCCTCTAGTTCATGATGGTACCTCTGGATGCTCACCAGTCTCTCGGTTCTGTTTTACCTTCATATTCATCCATCATTATGTTTACCCTATACGTTATATTTTGGCCCACATGACACAGCTATTTGTGGTTTATTCACCATGATTTAGCATGTTTTTAACATCTTTTTACAGTATTAGACTTTTTATGATTATTCTCCTCTTTGGGCTTATTTAGGGACCATATGTATAGTTCCTTGACTTCTTGTTTTAAAGTCCAGGTATACTAACCCATGATTTTCTTTCATGCTTTGAAAGTGCCAGGCACATTTGTTTATTATTAAGTAAGCAATGACATTTTGATCCCAAATCCCATGAAAAACTGAGATTGAGGAATAACCCACATTTGAAAATAGCAGGAAAGATGTTTTATTGAAATGCTTGGGCTAAACAAGGAATCCACAGTTTAAATCGGCTGATTTCTAATGGCTGCTTTAAAGATTTAAGAGATTGTGTGTTGAATACTACTTATTCATAATATTGTCTTGGCAATATATATAATTGAAACATGGACTGATCAAACAGTAATAGTCTGGATGCTCTAGCAGTCTACAAGGTATCAGCAATTTTAGATTCCTTGAGAGATGCAGCACTTGAATGGAAACCAACAATTCAATTTCATAAGGAATGTAAAAGTCTTGTGCAGTTATAACCTTGTTCTGGTTTCAAATGGTTGCATATGTCAGTACATTTTGGGAAAAAATATTATAGTTAAGGAACTCAATGTGATGTCAAACTATATACCTAAAATATGGAATTTGTCATGTCATGAAGAGCATTGACTCTACTGGGACATGGCAAAGAGGATAATTTTTTTGCAACTGGAAAGAAACTTACTTTCCTGACTTTAAGGAATGGATCCAAGATATGAATTCATTATCTATTTTTTTAAAATTCTCTGTGTTATGAGAATTAGAAGATGATGGTCTAGATTTAATGATAAATTTAAGAATGTAATCAGCTTTACATTGTTATCTATAGTTATTGTACTATATGGAACTTTTTTTCAGTTAACTGGTCTTTTTCTTTTGTTGTGCTTAGTTTATTTTAATCACTATAATATACAGTATCTAGGTTTTCATTCTTCACTGTATAATCACTATTTACCTTTTTTCCTCTATTGGCAATGTGAGTTGTTTTGCATTTCACTATGTTTTTTAATGATTTGATGTTACAAATATGTGTCGCCTCAGTCAATTTGGCTCCAAAATACTTCAGTCCTAAGAAATTACTAGTTTAATTTATGTTGCTACAAATTAGATGGAGAGGTTGATAGTAATAATATGTGCAATGGGCACACTCCATCTGGATTCAATGTCTCAGCCTTGTGAAGGTCAAAATAGAGGTAATTTACTTAATGGCCTCACCTTAAAGACAGTGGCTCCCGTGCATGTACAGAGCACCCCTTTAAACTTCTATAAAGCCCTAACAGACAATCGGTGGAGAACAGAGACCTGGTTCATACGTTGTCCTAAGCTATGGTTTGCTTAATCATAGATGAATTAAGCATAACTGACTCACTTTACAAAACACACTAAATCTCAGCCATAATTTACAAACTGCAAAGGTGGATTCCCACATGCTAAACCAAACAAGCACATTATAGCTTATTGCAATGTGTAAATCTGTCCACCTCTCTGCATCGTATAGAAGCTGAATCTATTTTGGAAAGAAGTCTGATTTCACCAATTATGTTTCTGTCATTTCCCAGGGCTGCAGCTGCCCAAAAAAGCCTAAGTTAAGAAATAGATCAAAGAGGAATTGTCACTTCCTCTTTGAATTACCAGTTTGGTATCCACCCTTTAGAATCCCTTAAAAAGCACGTGTACTAGTGAAAGAGCGTTTACATATCTGCTGGCAGAATGGGAGGAACACGTCTAGCAAGAGGCTCCAAGAATCTGCACTTTGCTCTGCTGGCCCTCGTTATTTCTCTTCTCCAATCAGCATTCGGACGGGAGTTGAAATTTGTGATTTTAGTAAGTACAGGAAAGGGAATAGGTTCATAAATGTATATGGTTTAATTTAAAATGAGCCGGGCATGATTAATCTATGATCCTGGACATTTCAAAGAGTCCCACAATTTCCCTTCCTCTGTAAGATTATGAAATAGATGCTGTTTGTTCAGGTTTGTGTTTTATCAGTGTTGCTGGGCTCTGTGTAAATATTCAGGCAGATATGATAAAATCAGTTTCCTCTAGAATGTTGTCTTTATAAGATTTTCTCCTATATCTGAGTTATATTAAGGGATTTTTCCTCTTCAGTGAAGAACTGTTCATAACCCTTTAGAAGTGTAATAAGTGTCAGCTCCAGCCTATAAAGAGTTAAATGTTTTATGGCCTTTGTGTGTAAGAAGCTCATCTGTAATGAAAATGGCTAGTCGAGACATATAAACAACATTCCAAAAAGGATATATATTATCAAATATATATTATTTGATAATTGGGAAATCAATGATGCTGTGGAATAAGATGCATCAGATAAGAAAAGGTGTTGCATGTACACATGCTTAAGTGTACAGTGATAGAAAAGACATATGACCAAGTTTCCAGTGGTTTGTCCAGCAGCATAAGAGACTATTGTTCACAAAAACAAAAACAGTAGAGGACAGTATTTTTGTATAATTATTTTTTATACTGGAAAGTAACTGGATGAAGTAGCTGGTTCTATGATTTACTCACATGTGATGGATATATGGGGAGAGAAGTGATGATCTGTTGCATTAAGTAGGACTTGTGCTTACAAGTACTTCATTACTCAGGGGACTCCATCTATGTGCTGTCCATGAGAGCAGGGAGGATATCTGAGGGTGAGGGAGGAGGAGTTGTGAATAATAGTACTATGATTGCTGCTGTGATGCTGCAGAGAAAGCAGTGTGCTGCATCTCCAGCATGCTCATCATCCTCAGCAGACTATGATGTCACTGGCAGTGCCCTGCAATCTCCACTCTGCTTTGGCACTAGTGAAGGCACCAGTAAGTTCAGCTGAAAAAGTCACAAGCTGTTTAGCCTCATATGTAGTTCATAAAGTATTTCCCAAAATCTGAAATCACAATCATGGAGCAGTATGACAATGGAGCAGTATGACAATGGAGAATATTGCAACACCCTCTACATGGTGCTGCCTTTGAGGACCATCCAGAAGCTACAAGTGGTCCAGAATGCAGCAGTATGCAGTTTTGGGTGCCCCACAGTTCACCACTGCTGTGTCAACTGCCCTGGCTCTCAGTTGTTTTCCAGGTGCAATTTAATGGGCTGATTATCACCTTGAAAGCCCTACATGGCACAGGGCCAGGTCATTTGTGGGACTGCATGTCCCTGAGGGTATCTGCCCATCCTACTAGGTTAGATAGGGTGGGCGTGCCCCAGGTCCCCTCCTTTAAATGTTGCCACCTGATGGGACCTCGGAGGCGCACCTTGTTGGTGGCTGCCCAGCCTTTAGGAATGGCCTCACATCTGAGATCTGAGGGATCCTACCCTTTTAGCCTTCTGGAAGGCCATGAAGACCTGGCTCTTCCCCCAAGCACTGGGCTAGGATGTAGGTTGAGTTGGGAGGCTGTTTGGTCTGGTGCCCTGAGGGGAAGGGTATTTTGTTTTTATCTCTGTGGTTATGGATTGTTGTGAGTCACCTAGACTCATTATATGGGATAGGCGGCCATATAAGTCCTGTAAATAAATAAATCAAGAGCTGGATAGGTATCTCTTGGGGAATTATGCTTAGCCTCTGATTCTGCATTAAAGATTTAATGCCCAAGAAGACCTCCTCCATCCTGGGTTTGGCCTAGCTTTGTGTGGAACCCCAATTATTGGGTTTCTAAGCCAAGGTTTGTGATTTGTGTTATATGTGGTGACTAGGGCTCATTAAACCATGGTTCAAACAATTGTTGATATACAGTAACATATGAGTCAACCTTCTACCTCTACTGATGCATGTATGCAATAATGCAGTGCTGTCTGCAAATCAGCCTTAACATGATATAAACCTTTTTAAAAAAAAAACACCTGTTTCCTCCTCATCATCTGAAAGTCTGCTTTTATTTTCCATCTTTGCTTCATTGATGGATGAAATTTGCATCCCAACAAATTCTTCCTGTGTTTGAATTTCCCCATCAGGAGACTGTCATACCCCCTACCTAGCTCAGATTTCATCTAACCCAGATATGAGGAAAGGCCTTGAATGCAATTCTACTAGTTCACTATGGTCACAGACTTTGCAGCCAGGCAACATTCTTCGGGATTGCTGGAATGCCATCTGCAACCCAGATTTGACTCTTAATGAACAGAAAGCCTTTGAAGCTTCTCAGTCCATTTATTAATAGTTTCAAAAAAGGACATTGCAACTACTCCCTAGCAGCCTGGTGGAAGCAAAGCTTTGCAAACTGTTAGAGAAATGTACACAGATGCACAGGCTGTGTATCGAGGAAAAGGCCTAGAAAGCAAAGCAGGGTGAAGAGCTGCTAATTAACAGAGCACTGGATGCTCTGGGGTAAATTGGCCAATTTGCAACAGAAAGAAGAAGGGTGATCTTCAATATGCAGAAATGCTTTCTGTGGCTCTAGTCATATAGCTAACACCAAACTGAAAGTATTTCCAATCTACAAATGGTGAAACAATGTGGAGAAACTAAGTTGGACTTAAAGTGGTTGGAAATAGTTAGCAAATTGAAAGGCTGGTGGTGTGACAGAGCTCAGCTTTATGGAATCTCAGCATTAATAGATTTTTTGAATGGTTTTTTTAATCATATAATGTTCTGGGCTTGGAAAATCATTACAAACATAACTGAAATGAGGAACATCAAGACTTAAAAGGCAAAAGACACAGCATTCATATACTACTTATTATATGTAGATTGTTATACTCATTTTGCAGCCTGCTTGCAGACATTCACTCTGGATAAAAATAGGGAAAGGCTCATAACTCAGTGCTAGAACAAGTCGTTTGCACGCAGAAGTCTTTTGTTGCTCTTCCATAGTAGTATTCATTGAGAATTAGCAGTTCAGTCTTCTCAGAAATCCTACTGAGTCTCATGAATCTTATTCAAAAGTAAGTATGTGCGTAAGATTGCAGTCTAATTCCCTTGTAGCTTTTTTTTTTACCTAGAAATGTATGTCTCATCCATCTAGTGCCAGAACATCAGTCAGAGTTGTTCAGCACCATTTAAAATTACAATATAACACTACACATACATTAAAAAAGTAATAAGCCTGTAAAGACAAAAACACAAATAAATCATCTTTACATCAACACTTTCTATATATTAAAGATCTAATAATTAACTAATCATAAGAAATATAAAAAAAGGGGATCCTTGGTTTCTGCTCTAAGATTTCCTCAAAGCTCTCTTGTTGTTATCTGGAGATAAATCTAAATACATAATGATGGACCAGCTGAAATAGTATCATTACTTCAACCATCTTTAATTCCTTCTACCTGCGAGTGACCTCAGAAGCTCACTTGGTAGTAGAAAGGTGGGACTGGAAGTTAACAAAACCTATTTATCCACATCTTAAAACAATCAGCTAAATATTACATTGTCTTTAGCAGTATTTCTCAACCTTGGGAACTTTAAGAAGCATGGACTTCAACTCCTAGATTTCTCTAGCCAGCCATGTTGGCTGGGGAATTCTGAGAGTTGAAGTCCACACATTCTGAAGTTGCCAAGGTTGAGGGACACTGGCCTTTAGCATAATAACCAGCTCAACGTTACTCCAGATAATGCTGAATGTGAAAAAGACAAAGGTTCTTATGGTGAAACTCTGTTACCATCACAACTGCAGCACATAGTTTGGTAATACAGGAAAGGCAGGATGGTAGAGTTGGCGGAAGGTGTAACGTACAGATTGAAGGAACTCTTGGTGATGACAGGTAGCCTCCTTGCATCTTTAATTAAACATAGGTGTACCAACTTGCTTTCTGAGATGGTGTTAAGACAAATTAAAGCAGAGAATAGCTGGAATTTCACAGATAACACTATTAGTAGGACTATGGGTGGAAGGCATGAGATGAAGCAAGCAAACTTGCTAAAAGGAAGTAGGCCTATGCCTGGTAAGGGCTAGGTAGGGAAACTATTAGGGAACCATTTGAAAAAGATGGATTGAATATTTGTTGTAAGCAATAGACCAGGAATAAGTCCAAACCACTGAATCTCGGTCACAAACAAGTGAAAATAGGGCAAAAGCCTCAGACCATATTAATGTGGGAAGAACTGGTTCCTTGTTCTTGGGAACCCTAAACAAAACAATGTCTAATAACACTTAATCTACTTACCAAGGAGCATAGGTGGGCATGGAATGTTGCAAGTACACCAGACAGTTGAAGAAGAAAAAAGAGCATTGGAAGAACATCTGAAGGACAGTGAAGAAGATGTACTGAAGCTAGTACACCATGAAGCTTACTGAATACTGAAGAGACCAAACTGGCCTACAAGAAAGACCAAATGAAGAATAGAAA